CACACTTCGAAATTCTGTAAATGGAGATTATAATATTATGTAGATAAAGTGATCTTACATATGTTTAAATGGCCCAGCAGAGCTATCAAGCCACAAAAAGACATGGAGAAAAGGTAAATGCAACATGAAAAAAGACAATCTGAAAAGGTTACATACTGTATGATTTCAATTATATGACATTCTGGAAAAGGCAAATCTATAGAAAGAGTAAAAAGATCAAGGGTTGAAGGGGGAAGGAGGGAAGGATGAATAGATGGAGAACAGGGGCTGTTTAGGGCAGTGAGACTCTTCTGTCTGATAATATAATGGTGGAGATGAGATATGCACTTGGCAAAACCCACAGAACTATACATCACAAAGCGTGAAACCTATTGTAATCTATGGACTTTAGTTCATAATAATATATCAATATTGGTTCATCAATTGTAACTAGTGTATCACACTACTGCAAGATGTTTGTGATAGGCTGTATTGGTTTTCTAAGGCTGCCAGAACAAACTGCCCCAGACTGGGTGGCTTAGAACAGCAGAAGCATTGTCTCAGAGTTGTGGAGGCTAGAAGTCCAATCAAGGTGTCAGCAGGGCCATGCTCCCTCTGAAGACCCTCGGGAAGGCTGTGTTCCGTGCCTCTCTCCCAGCTTCTGGTAGCCTCAGATATTCCTTGCCCTTCATCTTCTCATGGCATTGTCCCTGTGTCTTTACTTTATCTTCCCTTTGTGTGTGTCTGTTTCTACGTCCAAATTTCCCCTTTTTGTAAGGACACCAGTCATATATGATTAAGGCCCACTCTAACAATCTTATCTTAACTTTGCTACATGTACAAAGATCTTATTTCTAAATAAGGTCACATTCTGAGGGTGAAGACTTCAGCATATCTTTTGGCAGGGCGTACACAATTCAATGCAAACAGAGAAGAAACTGGGCAGGGTGGAGGACAGGGAGTATATTGGAAGTTTGTACTTTCTGTTTACTTTTTCTTTAAACTTAAAATTACTTTCAAAAATAAAGCCCATTAATTGTAAAAAACAAAAAAAGCAAGTAACAAAATATGACCCAGCACACAGTACATATTCAATAAATGTTGTTTACTTTTGGAAGCTGCATTAGCGTATTCGGTGTCCCTCACTCAATAGGTTTTATTTTTGATGCATTCTAAGACCAATATCGGCACTGCCCAAGAGCCCAAAGACTTTCCCCCACTCATTCGCCATTCTGTTTGTGATAATTTGAAGGTAGATGAGACTTAGCTTCCTCCACGTGGCTTCTGCCCCTAATAATTGAGCGCTGGATTAAAAAGCCAACTGCTCACAACCGTCTCCTGCCTTGACTGTATTTACACATGCTTGTGCACACACGCACATTCACACACACACATCTGCGCACGTGCACGCGCACACACACACACCCCTAAGATGGCTTCTTATGTGCCACCAAACCCCATCCCAAATGAGCAGAAACAGACCAGTTCTCCTTATAAAGCAGTCACAGGAAATATCTGTAGTGAGAGCCACACACCCATAAAGGCAAAAAAAAACAAAAGAAAAAGAAAAGCTTTGTGAACACAAAACATAGTCATAATTAGAATTCTTGGTTGAAGGATGCACATCAGAAATTTAATTCAAATTTTTAATTTAAGGAAAAGAATCATAGATTGGATTTAATAAGTATACTTTAATTCCCAATCTAGGGAGGGAAATGAAGAAGAGAAAGAGAAGAAAGTGATAGAGAATGAAACAAATGAAAAAAGAAATGGCAGAAGAAATATTGATAAATATCGATAAATCCTCCTCCCCAATGGGAAGCAGAGAGGGAAAAGCAGTGAGAAGGAACGGAAAGAGATGACCCTTCAGGAGGTCCTGATGTGGTGGAGAGACACAGGAGGTCCATTTATAGTGCCATCACCTGGGCCACCAGCGTGTGGTGTCATTACCGAAAGGAAGGGCAGTGTGCTAAGTGATTTGAAACCTGTAACATTGATTTATCACTTAATTACAACATAGATGTGCCCTATTTCAAGAAAATCCGGTATTTGAGAACCCATGTTGACAAGACAAATACATCTGTCAGAAGCTAATGATTCATCTGCCTTTGAAAAGCACTTTTTTCCCTTTACAGAAGGAGTCACGTCAGAGTTCTTTCAATAGCATGACTAACTGCCCCCTCAAAATTTAGATTTTCATAAAACTTTCCAAGAACTCGTCTGTCATATGTATTGATACATACCTCCTCTAGCCTGCATTTCAGGCTACTCTGTCCATTTCTGACTCTCAGGAGCTCCACAGTTTACAGACTCCCTCTGCCTTAACATGTCATCATTTCATTGGTTCAGTTTGTTTCCTAACCGTTGTTTCCGGAAGTAGTCCAGCATTGACTGGGGCTAGGAGAGGAAATGAGAGATGGGAGTGTGGAAGGTGCTGCCCCCAAAAGAGGGAGAAAAAAATCACTTACAATTCTACCCAGACATGGCTCCTCTTACATAGGAACAGTGCCAGAGAATTTCAGAAAGCTCTGTGATATGAGGGTGTGAGGATAAGGAAAAACTCCAGCCCCATCCTGCTTTGAGACCAACCGAGAGCCATTTTCACAAACACACACACCTTCTCTCCCCGACCCAACCACATACACCCCAACGGAGAGTCATACCATGCAGTACCCAGATGTGTTTTCTCCTCTCCCTCACATGTACCTACCACATGTCCACAAAGCATGACCCAGAAAGGCACTTGTCTATGTAGATGCAGCATAGAGCTCACTCTCTGTCTGCCTCCCTTCCACCGCCTAAATGACACGCATACATACTTGCAGCATTCAAATGAGTAAATAACCGGATAGGTAGAGTTTTTCTATGGTTGGGAAAGAAAAAATTGCCCAAGTAAGTAAGAAAAGGTGAGCTGTAGGAGGAGAGAATGGGTAGAAGAAAAAGAATGTGCGTAGGTAGAGAACCAGTGAGCATGGTCAACAAGTGACCACTCAATGTTAGCCAGCTGCACTTTCCTTTGCGTACTCCAAGACACTGTCGGGCTCTGCCAACCAGATGCCTCTTCGGCCTGCTTGGGGAGATTTGTTTCACTGCTCATTAGCACCTCCACCAGAGGTATAGGCTGAGAAATTCGAACCACTGTTAACAAGCAGCCAGCATGACTACTTAGCTTGTATATGCGAGACCCGAAAGCTTAGAGGATGCTCTTCAAGCCACTTGGATAAATTTTAAAAAGTGAAATTGTTTGCTTACAGACAGACCTCTTTCTCCCATTTCTGTTTGCTGTTGCTATAGTTATTGGAGAAGTGGTTTATATACAACGAAAGACTTTACTGAAGAGCTTACTCTCTCACTACACCCTGCATTCAAGTAACTGAGTTTTGGTCCCACTGCCCACAGGGCTGCGCTGCTCAGAACAGGAGCCCACCTTGAGGAGAAAGACCCTTAGATGACCCTCAAATCACTTTTATTTTTCCGTTTTGATAACTATGATTAGATCAGTTTGGAGAATATAGAGAAATGTCTTTATGGTTGATGAAATTAAAAAAGGAGAACTGATTCTTTCCTTCATAACTAGCAAAATCTTGGAAAGTATTCTTGGTAAGAGGAGGTGGAAGAACACCTTAAAATTTAAAAGCTCCAAATGAACACCAAAATTTGAATTTCCAAAAGATTTATAAGCAGTATAAATAAGACCCTAGGGGATAAGAAAAGGGCGGGGTGGGGGGGGGGCAGAATTCAAACATATTTGAGTTTTGTTTTTGTTGGCTGAGATTTTAGTTTTGTTTTTGTGGGTTTTTTAAGGGGAAAAAATGCTTGAAAATAAAAGAATTTGACAATTTACTTAAGGAGGTTTCTGAACTTGGCTTCAAAATCTAAGTTTTGCTTTTTGCTCCATCAAACAAAAATGCCATTAGGGGATGGCTTTAGGCTTTGTGCAGCTCCTTATTTTCCTACGCGGGGCAAATGGCTCGTCTCATGTGCACAGAAAGCGCTGGAAAATATTTTTTGTGATCTGAGTGCAGCAGAGAGTCTAGGATTCCAGAGGAAGTGGAGGCCTCCCGCTCCACACAGGAAACAATCTTCAAGCAGGCCTTAAATGCCAGATTCCAGGCCGAGTTTAACTAACCACTGACAGCTCTGTAAACAAAGCAAGGACAAAAAGAGCCCGCTTCCCCTTTTCTGGTAGTCATTTTGGGTTTGGGGGCTGCAGGGGAATTCTGGAATACTTGACTCCATGGCACAGAAACACAGGGGAAGCGGGTTCCTCAGTTGAAGAGCTGGAAAAGGAAGATCTTTCTGGGATTCAAACCATCACGGAGGAGGTAGGAAAGGATAAAATGGTTGGGTTACAAAGAGCCGGGACTTCTGAGCTCTGAAAACAGCTTGATCACAACGTAACTGCTTTTTAAAATGCTGCTGCATTATGTTTATTCATGGTATTATTGCTGTGGCCTCTATTATCATTCTGATATTAATGTTCTTGTAGAATATGCAAATTATGCCTGGATACTTGTATTATTTTATTTCTCTCTTTTACTTTTCTCTTAGTTCCTACGTACTCCTTTTCTTGCCCCTTTCTCTTTTCTCTCTCTTTTTTTTTTCCACTCTTGTTCTCTTTTCCTCTTTCTTTGTTCACTTTTTCATAACTTTTGTCTGTGGGCAGCAAGTTACAAAGAACAAAATCATTTGGTAGCTCTGAAGTGATCCCACCAATATTTCAAATCTTCAAAACCTCTCTGTCTCTTGAGGTCTTTATTTTTTTAACTGTAATCCTAGAATCTTACTTTTTTGTCTCTAATAGTTTCATGAATGAGACTGAATTTAACACATAAAGAACTCGGCTTGGGAGTCAGAAATTGATCACTGGCTGCCTCACCAGTCTTCTAAGGTGTTTTTCTTAAGAGTAAAGAAAAAATGAAGTGATGAAAAAGTCTGGGGGTAGGGGGAGACCTAAGCGATTCATGGGAGATAATACTCCGATTCATCTATGATGTTGATTTCTACCTCCTCCTCTTTAGATCCAGACATTATCTGGTCTCCTGAATCCTGAAACCACACCATGGATGATTTTGAACGTCGCAGAGAACTTAGGAGGCAAAAGAGGGAAGAGATGCGCCTCGAAGCAGAAAGGTAAGGATCCGGATTGCATTTGTATTCTGTTATTAACAATGTTGGTTTCAGGCCTCAAGGATCATCACTCTGAAGGGGCAAATGTATTGCACACTAAACTGTTTACAAAAGCAGTTAGGGAAAATATTCCTAAGACTCTAAACTCTGCATGAAAAAATAAAACAAACATCAAGAAAAAGAGAGATTTGAGAAAAACTAAATAGTTGCGTTTAATCAGTGTCTTTCATATTGGAATTTTTAAATGACAAAAGCAATACGTGGATAAAAGTTAAAAAGCAATTATAACTGAAATAACAGAAAAATGATAAATAGTGAATATTGAGACCGTTTAGGAAGTGGATCTTCAGTCTAACAAAGTAAAGGGGACAAATTTTTACTCTTATTAGAATCTTGTGACAAATTTTTATTCTTTTTAGAAAAGCATCCCAATTCAGTAATCCACATCTTATGGGTTAATAGTTGGTGGAGTATATTACTGTGGAGATTCTGAGTCTAGTTGGAAGCTGTTATGTTGTGTGAAATGTCTGTCGTGGTGACTTCAAGGGCAAGTTGGAGAAATAAAGCAATGACATATGAAGCACGGGACATAAATGCATATTTTAAAATTTTAGGCCTCATAGCAAAGGACATGGCATTTAATGTGGCTTAAATCAGATGTTCCTTTGAGAAAGCACAGTGGGCATTCACAGGAAGAAAAATGTTAAACAAGAGTCTTAAAACCAAATCAGTTTTGCTTCTCAGTAATCATGCACCAATGAAAAGATGGCAGCAAGGTGATCTTTTAGCGATTCTGCTGTAGAAAACCGGAAACTTACACATATAGCAAAACATATCTTGGGCTATAAGCTCTACTTATTTGTACGGAGAATGCAAAAGAAGAGGTTAAAGCTACGGTCTTGGATTAACTTGGTCAGAGTTGGCTGCCATTCATGGAATGTCTATGCACATACATGCATAGTACCATGAGTGGCAACTGGGTTCTGTGGGTTCAAATCCCACCTCTGACACTTATGAGCTGTGTGGCCATAAGCAAATGACTTCTAAGCCACAGTTGCCTTATTTGTAAAATGGGGATAATATCTATAGAATTTATGTGGTTGTTGTGAAGATTATTGAACTTCATAAATGGCCTAGCCCAGTACCTGGCACATAGTAGGCTTCCATAAATCATAGTCATTGTTATTATTATTTTCAACCATTATCGTTAGCTAAACAAGTAAGAAACAACATAGCAACATAGCCAGAACTAAACGTTAATGCCGAGAGAAGGAAAGACAGTCATCATCCTGTGATGAAACTAGTCAGGGAAGTTTCCTTGGAAGTGGTAAGCCATGGAGGAAGTAATGATGGTGATGAAGAGGAAGAGAGGAGCCATTTAGGTGGGGGAATGACACCAGCAGGAGCTTAGAGGTGGAAATGAGAATCCTCGTGCAAGAAATCCATTGAGTGCTTAAGGAAGAATGAGTTAGACTTGCACATCTTGAGTGTTTCTATTTCACATAAAAGGCAGTAGAGATTTAGCAGGGGAGCTATGTGTCATGAAAATACATTGGAGAAAGTTCTCTACGGTGGACTAGAGTGTGGAGACACCAGCCTTGGAAGAGTCAGTATTGAACATACGGTAATGAGAGCCTGAACCAGGGCATCAAACATTGAAATGAAGATCAAATAGGAGAGTCTTTATAGAGGGAGTATTAGCAAACCTTTCAGGAGAGGGAGAAAGTCAGAAACAATTGCAAAGAATGTAAGTCTGATGATCTGAAAGAAGAGTCTCTGCATCGTCTCAAATGGGAAAACTGGGAAAGGTTCCATTCTTCCATGTCCATGGGGGGAGTGTTTAATTTCAGGTAGAAACCACATCCACATGGAGATATCTTCCAGGCATTTGGAGATAGTAATTTTCAATCTTTGTTCAGAAAGGGAGAGACATTATTATTGGAGAAGTAAGTTTGGGCACACTCAGTATGATGGTGGTAGTGCAAAAGCTGAGTGTGGATGGTAGTGATAGAGCCAAGAAAGCAAGTGTAGAGAGAGTGAGAGGTCATAAAGGCATAATGGAAGCCATCAAAGGAGACCAAAAGATCAGGGGGGTGGGGAGAACCAGAGAGAATATGGGGGTACTCACATGGAGTGGACATCAAAACCTGTAGGCAGTGTCCAGGCCCAGTGGCACAAAGCTTATTCTTTCCAATGAAGGGTTATTTGGCCTTGGGTTCTCCTGAAAGCCTAAAAAATATCTTTACTCAACAAATACTTATTAAGTACCAACCAAGTTTCCATGTCTGTGCTAGGGACAGGGAAAATTACGCTGAGATATAAATAGATGTGGTTTCTGCCTTTATGTCCTTCACGGTATGCTAGGAAACCAAAGTATAGCAGGATCAGGAAACAAACCAGGCCAGAGTGTGGGGGCAGCCCGAAGAGAACTGGTGCTAGGGGGACTCAGGAGTGAGGATGGGAAATCTGACATGGAACTAGATCAGTATCTTCTGATTCTTTGCTTTCTCTGTGAATAGAGAGACAGGGTATCAACGTGATTCCCTCAGTAGAGTTAACTCACTGTGGTCAGAGCCACACTGTAGTTAGAGCAAATGAACTAGGTTTCTTTAGAACCAGATTTTGCCTAAGAACTTTCCACACAGCTACATGTTCATTCCTTCTGGTTTTGTGCTTTGTGTGGAAGGATGTCTTTCTTTAAAGTCAACGTTAAAAGGAATGTACTCAATGAAGCTTAGTTAGGTACCCTTAATAACCTAAAATCAATTTACACAATTTACACAAGTTTGTCCTAATCTTGTTTCACTTACTTTTCTGTCTGTATTAATGATTTTGGGATATTATGTTCCACCTGATTCCTTTCCTTCCTTCCTTCCTTCCTTCCTTCCTTCCTCTCTCTCTCTTTCTTTCTTTCTTTTTTTTTTAAGGTATACTTTTTGGTGAGGAAGATTGGCCCTGAGATAACATCTGTTGCTAATCTTCCTTTTTTTTTTTTTTCTCCCCAAAGCCCCAGCACATAGTTGTATATCCTAGTTGTAAGTCATTCAAGTTCTTCTGTGTGGGATGCTGCCACAGCATGGCTTGATGAGTGTTGTGTAGGTCCACACACAGGATCCGAACCGGTGAACCCTGGGCTGCTGAAGTGGAGTGCATGAACTTAACCACTCAGCCTCGGGGCTGGCCCCTCTTTCTTTCTTTTTTGAGAGAAGTACTTAAGTACTTCTTTATATTTATACTAAGTTTATTTTTACATGTTTCAAGGTGAACCTTCTAGTTCTGTTATTCTGGGATCTGGTAAGTGACTCTATGTTCACTCTTTAGGATTTTCAAAAATCTGGTCATTTATGGAAATAGTAAAGGTCAGGCATTATGGTCCAGCCAACTTGAATGAGAAAGTTCAGGGTGTGTACAGGAAACAGATGGCCAGAACCAGAAATCAAGGGCCATCCAAAATTGTGGTTTTGATCTGAAGATAAAGGGCATATAAGACCCTGTGCAAATCCCTCTCCCCTTAGCTTTAGACCTTGGCTTCCTCATCTGTAACAGGAGTTGATGTTTACTCTGGGGGATTAGTGGTAACTTTTACTTTCCTTTTGCTTTTGGTATTGTCTAATTTTTCTTTTACAATGATCGTATATTACTTTATTTAAAAACAAATAAAAAAATAAGGCAAGATTCCATTTTGGAAAATGTGATTCTGTGGCCCTCCCCATTATTCTTGGGGCCAAACTGGAGTAGACGCTACTTTCCTTTGGAGTTAGGGAACTGAAAGAAAGAACTCAAATCAAATCTGGGATGGCAGTGGAATAAATTAGGAAAAATAGAGTGGCCCCAAGGCTCACAGCTCCAGAGTCATTTATTCACTCACTCATTCAACAGATTTTTATTGAGCATCTACTGTGCTCCAAGCTCTATTTTGAGCACTGAGGTTAGACCAACTGAATGACAGAATTGGGAAGAGTGCGCTTAATGCTTTTCAACCTATATAAAACCAATTGAGGATCAAGAAACTACATTTTTATATCCTCAAACATGGTATGTACGCTGATATTCATTGATTCTTATTAAAGATGGCTTATGCCCTTTGTATGCTGTATCTCTGTAGACACTGTGGAGGAAGAGAAACTCTGTTGACTTTTCCACTTCTTACCCACAAAGGCTTTCCAAATAAAAAGTACCCTGTTATTTCAATTAGTTGTTATGGAGTTTGACTAGCAGGTGCAGTTCTACTTTGCAATGATAAATAATTTAAAACTTGTGCTCTCACCAGCTGTAATAACCACAAATTAAAATAATCCAGATTCTTATACATTCTATTCTTCAGAAATACATCTTTTAAAAGATTATTTGAAAAGCTCACCATACACTTCGTGCCGTGCTGGCTTTCATGTGCTTGGGACTGCCACCTGTTCCCTGCCTCATGGCTGCCCTGAGACTGTCATACACAGGCCTCATTCTGAGGGTTGTAGTCCAGTCCATCTCAAATCATCCAGCTTTCCATAAGTTAGACTATGAACCTAATCAAAGCATCCTTCCCTTCTTTGGCCTGCCCCTTAGCCTGTGCATCTTTTTGCTATTCCCCTTGTCCTTCTCCCTTGTTTCGCTGTCACTCTGAGTCCTTAAGATGACATTTTTAGATTTGGTATAAGGAGGTACTTCATTCAGTCATCCAAAAAAATGTATTGAATATCTATCAAGTGCAAGATACTAGCCTGAACCGTAGGGATGAGCGGTCACCAGTCCAGGTGGAGTCTCGATCGTCACAAGGCTCAAATCTTAGGTAGCTTAGTGTCTTTAGAGCAATCTTGACCAAAGAGAGAAGAAAGAAATTTCTGTGGGCAGAATGGATTGAGCAGGTGATCAGTGAAAATCCTAAATGCATTGTTTCTAAGCAAAAGACACTGTTTATACATATCTCAAATTACACTGTATTTTTTAATCAGTTACCCATTTGAACAAATAATTCGTTTTGCTGTTTGTTCTTCTTCACCTATCTCATGGGA